CCCACTACTACTACTACTTACTACTGCTAATACTACTACCACTATTACTGCTACCACTACTACTGCTACTACTACTACTGATACTACGACTACTACCACTTCTACTACTACTGCTACTACAACTACTCCTACTGATACTTCCACACTACTACTGCGACTACCACTAGTGTTACAATCGGAACTATTACTACTGATATTACCATTCCTACTACTACAACCGCTACTGCTACCACCAGTACTACTACTACCACAACTACTGCTACTGATACTACCACTGCTACTATTACTACGACTACCACTACTACTACTACTACTACTACTGCTACTACCACGACTACTACCACTGCCACTACCACTACTGCTACTACCACTACCACTACTTCTGCTACTACTACTGCTACTACTACTACTACTATTATTATTACTTTTACTAATACTACTACTACTTCTAATACTACTACTGCTGCGACCACCACGAGTACTACCACTACAACTACTACTACTAGTTTTACTACTACTACGACTACTGTCACTACTACTACTACTGCTACTACTACTACTACGTCCAATACGACGACTACTACTACTACTACTACTACTACCACTACTACTACCACTGCTACTTTTACTGCTGCTACTACTACTACTACCACAACTACTACCACTGATACTACTACTACTACTACTACTACTACTACTACCACTACTACTACTACTTCTACTGCTGCTACTACTACTACTACTACTACGACCTTACCACTACTACCACTACTACTACTACTACTACTACTACTACTACTACTACTACTACTACTACTACTACTGGTACCACTACTACCACTACTACTACTACTTCCACTACCACTACCGCTGCTACTACCACTACTACTGCTACTGCTACTACTACTACTGATACTAGCACTACTACCACTACTACTACTCCGTCTACTATTCTTACTACTACTACTACTACCGCTACTACTACTACTACTACTACTACTACTACTACTACTACTACAACTGCTACTGGTACTGATACTACTGCGACCACTACTACGAATACTACGACTACTACTACTATTACCACGACTACTCTTACTACTACTACTACTACTACTACTACTCGTACTGATTCGATTACCACTACAACTGCTTCTACTACTACGACAACTACTACTACGACTACTACTCCTACTGCTACTACAACTCCCACCACTACGACTACGACGACTACTACGACTACTACTACAACTACTACGACTGATACTACCACTACTACCACTACCACTAATACTTTTACTACTACCGCTACTACTGCTACGATTACCACTACTAGTCCTAATACTACTATTACTACTACTACTACTACTACTACTACTACTACTACCATTACTGCCACTATAACTACTACAACAACTACTACGACTACTATTAAGACTACCGCTGCTACTACTACCACTACTACTACCATCACTGCTACTGATACTACTGTTACTACTACTAGTACTACTACTACTACTACCACCACTACTACTGATACTACCACTACTACCACAACTACTACTATTACTATTACCACTACTACCACTACTACTACTACTACTACGACTCCTACTAGTACAACAACTACTGCTACTACTACTACCACTAGTATTGCTACTGCTACTACGACTACTACTACTGATACTACTACTACTACTACGACGACTACTGCTACTACTACAAGTATTACCGTACTACTCCTACGACTACCACTACTACTACTACTACTACTACTACTACTACTGCTACTACTACTACTACTACTATCACTACTACTATTACTACCACTACTACTACTACTGCTACTACTACTATTATTACTACTACTACAACTATTACTACGACTACTACTACTACTACTACTACTACTACCACTACTGCTGTTATTAATAGTACTACTACTACTACTACAACTACGACTACGACTACCACCACTACTACTACTAATACTACTGCTACTACTACTACTAGTAGCGCTACCACTACTACTACAACTATTACCAGTACCAATAATACAACTACTACTATTACTACTCTTGCGCCTCCTCCGACTGCTCCTACTACTACTACTACCACTACTACCGCAACTATTACAATTATTATCACTACTTCTACCACTACTACTACTACTACTGCTACTACTACTACTACTGCTACAACCACTACGACTACTACTACGACTACTACCACCTACTACTACCACTACTATTACTACTACGACTACTACTACTACTACTACTACTACTACTAGCAGTACTGCTCCTACTACTATTACTTCTACTACGACTACTACTACTACTGCTACTACTACTACGATTACTACTACTACTACTACTACTAGTACTTCTGCTATTGCTGCCAGTACAACAACAACTATTACTACTACTATTACTACTGCGACTACTACTACTACTACTACTACTACTACTACTACTGCTATTACTACTACTACTACTTT